TTTTTTTTTTTTTTTTTTTGCATTTGGTGGTCAGCAAAGAATAACTGACAAAATTATAACTTTTTTCTCGTTTTTTTAGTTAGTTGTCCTAGTCTGCATAAAAAAAAAGGATCAAAAAATATCTAACATTTGCTGATATGTTGTTAGATAGTTTTGTAGAGATCTGTTGTTAGACAGGCGCCTGCTGTGGTTTGGTGTTATTAACATTTATCGTTGAAGGTTTCACGTTTACTTATTCATTTATCCTTTCATCGGGTCCAATTAATTATTTTTTTTTTATTTATTTGTTTATTCGCTTATCTGGTCATTCAGTGATTTATTCAGTCATTCAATCAGTCATTGTTTCGCCACATTTTCGCTAGCTTTCAAGCACTAGCTTTAAAGCACTGAATATGTTGCTTATGGCTTGAATAAATCCTTGTTTTTTAAAGTAAAATGGGCTGCTGTTCCAACAAATTCTTTTGAAACTAATCATTGCAATTATTGTAGTTATGAACTATTACTTAAGCGCCATTCTTTTGAATCTAGAAAGATTTTTTAAATTTACTATTCTTTATTTTTTTAATTTTTTTTCGCTTAACAGAAATCACTTTCAAAGTTTAACGTGGTAGTGTTTAACAACAGGATTTGCAGAAGTATTTAATGTTGTGTTTTGAGTGATCTTAGGGTTACGGCGTAACAAAGCAGCAACAGGTACCGATCACAGTTTGTTACAGTTTGTGATGCCTTTAAAATGCCAATATTTATGAGAAAATGGAAACAAAATAAGTGTGATGGGAGGTTGAAAACAAATTTTACTAAGCAAGAAATTTTTTTTAACACAACTTTCAACTACTAAAATACTTCAGACATCTGTACTGCTAAATACGCACTGTTCGATAACATTTTAGTTTTATTAGTTTTGTTTTCTTTAGGCATATCGTAACAATACCTTTTTTTTTGTTTGCTTATTTGTTTGTATTACGTTAAGTTCAGCCCGTTTCATTTTCTGACTATTATTTCTGCAGTTTATTATTTTAGTGCATATTAGAATTACATTGATAATAAAACAACAAC